ATATAATAAATAATTAATAATAAATTAATTATTATTAATTAATCAACTGTTCAAAACCTTGTCTATGTACCTTTTTCAATTTGATGACTCCTTCTTGTGTATCCTCATCTGTGACGATGTCAAACAAATTTCCCCCATCTCCTGGAACAATATTGTATTCAATTTCTGCATTTTGTCCAAAATCAGGATCCACAGCTCTTATTCGTCCAATGGCTGAGCCGATAGGAGAAGACTCGGGAACTTTCAGATGGAAAATACCTGATAAGACATGTATAATTCATGCCATCAGTGGAGTTAGTTAAGTGTATAGTTAGATGACTAGGCTTGAGAAATATACTATATCTAAAGTAAATCACATTTAGAACATAATAGTGCCAAATCGAAAAGGAATTTGCTGTCAAGTTAAGAATTATGAGTAGGAGTAATAACTTCACTTTTCACTTCCATAGGTCCTGCTCTAGAATTTTAATTGGGAATTATAACTAGTAAAGTGTGTTCAATTTAAATTAGCGTGAGGAAGTATTTTAAATACTAACAGCCTCAAAGTGTACCTAATAATAAATGGAAGGGCAGGAACATCCATGTAATTAAATGGTACCAATAGGGTAGAATCCGGGACACAAGACAGAGATAAAATAAAGATAGATGACAGATTGATAGATATTTATAGAAAGTTAAGGTTATATTTTCTAATATATATATAAATATTTTATATTTTTCTTATATATTCCATAGAGAGTATGTACTCAGTAAGTGTAAATCATTAAGCTAAAAAAAACCTGTAAGATAGTTGACCAAAATTTTAATCTATGATGGATTTAAGTATATTATATTAATTGACTAATATTCAATTTGTGTTTAGTATCTAGTAAATTTTTCCTGGGTATACTACAAGCTACTTTTATACACATATAAGATTAGGATATCAAGTTCATTCTGCTCCATTATTTATTTATTTTTTTTTTTTAGCATTTAAAAAAAAAAAAAAAAAAAGAAATGTTTATTTTCACCACCAGGTGGAGCACGTACATTACTATGAATTTGATACTGAGTCAGAAAAACCTAGAAAAATTTCTATCTATATAAAATATACCAGAATCAGGAAAATTTGGAATATCCTCTAAAAATGAAAATATATACATTGCTTAAAGGAGTTTTAGAAATTGTGTATGGCATAACATGAAAAAGATATAGGCTATTTTACTGACTTGTCATCAAAATCAATATTAAATGATTAAATGACAGTCTATTTATATTAAAATAAGGAAAGGAAGAGTGTGGAAGGAAATAAAAGTGCAAAAACAAAACCGAACTCAAAATACAAAATTTGATTTTTATATCTTCTTTCCAGTTTTAATTTCTATTAATGTACTTTGGATTGTACCTTCTCATGGCTAAAGCAACCACCGTAATTCACTCGTTTAGAACTTCTAGTTACATTCATAGAAATTAAGGTAGGAAGACCTTTAATATGTTTATTGAATGGTGAAGTTCATTCATCAAATTGCATTACAATATTTTGGTTATAGGCTTCAAGAAATATGAGGAAAAAATGCTCAATCACACCTTGTGGACATTTTGCTAAATATTTTCCATTTTATTCCCAATTACTTTGTTTTTCTCTTATAGTTCTTTCACAGTTTCAAAATGGGGTAATTTCATTAGCCCTGGTAGCATTAAATCTTTCAACTACCGCTCACCGCCCCCCCAACATAGATATCTACCACTTGCACAAATACTGCTAAAATTAGCCTTGTTTACATTCAATGGACATTACCTCATCCAAAAATATAATTAATATTAAAAGATCTAAATATTTACCTAAATTTGGCTGATTTCATGTAAAACAGAGTGTAGATTTTTACAGCAGTCTGAAAATAGTTGTTCAATTAATTTGATAATTAATTAACAGTATACCTGCCTTCAAAGGGGAGTATGTCAAATCTTTCTAAAAGAACACATTTAAAAGTTAATAAACAAATCAGAACATAGGAAGTAATAACAATAATGCAAGTGGTAATAATGGAGTGTTACATAGGCATTAGGAAAGGATTTTGATTAAATAAGTCATATCACATGATCAAGCTGGCAACTTTTCATAGGCTACGACTATGTTTCATTAGGTTTTATTCCCTAAACACTTCACGCAGTGGCTGTCATAGAGATGCTCAAAGTTTGCAGGATTTAAAGTAGCTTTGGACTGGAGGCTACCAGAGCAAAGAGGAAGAATAAAGTCACAGGTTGCAATGTATACACATTGTCTAAGAAAAAGGTAACAACAGGTATCCAAGTGAAATTGAGTTCAAATAGCCATGATCACATAAGCAGGACCTAATGTGACTTTTACAGCCTACTTTTCTAGAGTGTTAAGTGCTTCACAATAGCCTAAACACTGATCGTATGGAAGCACTTCTGAGCTACTAGCAAATATAAGGATGCCTGACTTCTTGTTTAACATGGCTGGAAAGCCTACAACAGTTATTTAAACTTGTACTAAACTTCTCATATATGTGATTCTTTTTATTTTCTTTTTTTCTTCCTTTCTTAATATCTGTTAAGTAGAAGTATCACTTGTCAGAAACACGTCCACCACTTTTGCCTTTTGGGTGATTGTGATAAAGAACCTGAAGAAACACCAAAAGCCTTGACGCTCTACTACACTTAGTCATAGTTCAATGTCATGGTATATCAATAAGTGTTAAGAAAGGTGTTGAATTTTTTTCCTGATAAAATAGAGTAATGGAAGTATGCTGAATAATGTACTGTACATCCTTCTTTCACATGATATTTAGTTAGGAAATGACCAAAAAAGTTATCAAAGACACAGCTGACAGACAGAGATTTGAGTGAAGGAGGCAGCTGCTGAGGGTCATGGATTTCAAACCTCAAACATGGCCAGCAGTGCAAGGTGATGATGGTGGTGTGGACTGAGGTAGGGGGAGGTTGGATGGGATCTTTAGAAAAATATGGACATCTAACTTAAAGTATGTATAATTTTTCTGCTTACTCTATCTAATCCATTCAATAGGAACAAATTCAGATTACATATTTGCTTTATGAGTTAGATTTCATTTGAACGATTAAAAGCAAAATTAAAAGAATCAAAAATCAAGGGAAATAATCTAGTCTGGCATCATCATTAAGAGATTATGGTTAGCGGAGGTAAAAAAAAAAAAAAAAAAAAAAAAAAAAAAAAAAAAAAAAAAAAAAAAAAAAATTAGCCAGAATTGAGACCCTCCAATTTAAGAAGAATTTTTAGATATCTGAAGGACATCGGATAATGCAGACTTTAAATGAGAGTTCCCCTTTTCAAGACAATATGCTGAGATATGAGTTTTGTGTTTTATAAAAGGAAATTTATGAAGCCACTAACAATAAATGTGAAGATGGCTATTCCTTGTAGTATTATGTCAATAGTAAGTTAAATAGCAGTTTCTTGGGGCGCCTGGGTGGCGCAGTCGGTTGGGCGTCCGACTTCAGCCAGGTCACGATCTCGCTTCCCCGTGAAGTTCTAAGGCAGCCAGGCCTCAGGGCTGATGGCTCAGAGCCTGGAGGCCATTTTCGATTCTGTATCTCCCTCTCTCTCTGCCCCTCCCCTGTTCATGCTCTGTCTCTCTCTGTCCCAAAAATAAATAAAAACGTTGAAAAAAAATTAAAAAAAAAAAATAAATAGCAGTTTCTTAAAAAGTGGTATGCTTAAAAAGCATGGAAACAGCCTGGGTGGCATGATGGGGTTAAAAGCGTCAATTCAGCTTGAGTCACGATCTCACTGGTCTGTGAGTTGAGCCCAGCGTCAGGCTCTCAGGCTGATGGCTCGAGCCTGGAGCCTATTTCTGATTCTGTGTCTCCTCTCTCTCTGACCCTCCCATTTCAAACACTCTAATGTCTCCTCTCTGTCTCAAAAAATAAATAAACGTTGAAAAAAAAATTAAAAAAAAAAAGTGGTCAGCATATAGCATGCCTATAAATTTTATAATTATCTGATGGCACTGGAAAACTTGTAATAAACTGAAATGCCAGCATTCTCCAAAAAAACCTGACTCAAAAGCACTCACCAACATGTCCCACCAAAATTAAGATATAATAAAAGTGAAAACAGTGATTTACCATGTACATCTTTTTTGTGTATTGAGATTTTAGTGTACATAAAACACAAATGTACAGAGCACTGAATTTCCTGTTCTTTGAGATAGCACATTTTAGTAGGGTGGAAGACATATTCATTAAGCCAAGCATTTCCAAATAAAATACTGTAGTTAGAAATAAAGTCTCCAGAATATGGAACAAATCAGAGAAACTATGCATTAGTCATGTCATATTTTTTTAGGCTCTGTCGGTTTATTTCCAGTGACTTGACATTTTATCATTTCTAGAAACTCGACAGCAAATAAAGCTGGGGTCATTCAGATTAATTCAAAACTGAAGTAATCTTCAGCTGTGCCAAAGTTGGATCGCTTGTGATGTACTGTGTCATTACAGTTCCATCAACTTCTGCGTGTCCTACTTTTGACGCATATGAAACATCTTAATGGCACTACCTGTACAAGACAGATTAAGAAATAAAACAGGTGACAAGAAATTGTTCAGAGTCAATAAGAATATATGCTTACATACTCATCAAATATACATGCTATGCTTAAAAGAAAAAAAAAAGTTCTCATGGAAAACGAGAAAACTGCATGTAGTGAACTAAGATGGAATTATAGTGATCAAATTCTAAAACTTCTTACAGATAATGCTCCCTCTTAATTCCAAAGGTAAAAGTATCTATTACTCAGTTATAGGCTAAATGAGTATCTTCTCAGGAACTTTGTTGTTTCAAAAAATGTACTTGGGGTCCCTGGGTGGCTCAGTTAGTTAAGAGTCCGACTTCGACTCAGGTCATGATTTCATGGTTCCTGGGTTTGAGCCCCGCGTTGGGCTCTGTGCTGACAGCTCAGAGCCTGGAGCCTGCTTCGGATTCTATGTCTCCTTCTCTCTCTGTCCCTCCGCAGCTCGTGCTCTGTCTCTGTCTCTGTCTCTGTCTCTCTCTCTCTCAAAAATAAACATTAAAAAATTAAAAAATAAAGTTAAATAAAATTTAAAAAATGTATTTTGATTATTAGGACTCACACTGGTTTTGTGTATGTGTCAGGGAGCATTCAGTGACACCTAAGGAAAAAGGATATACAATAGGCTTTCCTTCTCTGAATTCTTCGGAATATTTCCAAGCATTGATATAAATACCAAAAGAGATACATCTACTTAACAAAACATAA